CAGTCGCTTCCCTTCAGTGCTTCCCTTTCCTTCGTCTTCCCATCATTCAGCGCGCCCCATCATCAACCGCGCCTTAGGTAAGCGACTGGGGACGAGTCAGGTATATACCAGTGTATATACACAGGACTGTGGTAAACTAATGAGGTGCATTTAATTTCAAAAAAACAAATTGACTAAAATGATCAAAATTTCCAATTTTTAAGATTCTGAAAGTTTTAATATTCCTCTGATAACTCATACACATGTCAAAGTTTAATTATCCTTTCCCACAATGATGAATATGCTTTTTATTCTTAAAATGGTCTGTTGATGCTTTTCATGTGGTTATAATTTTTTAAACCTATTTGAGAACATTGAAAGTACCCCAAAAATGTCATTGTGAGAAAGGCTAATATGGAGATTTCATAGAATGTATAAATATTCATGATTTATTCATGTTTCTATTATCAGGTGGTTACCTGGTTGGTTATTTAAAATAGTATTAATACAATTGTCAATAATTGAAAAAGTCTGTGATACATCATCGTCTTGATACATCATCTTCTTCATTGTCGTCGTCGTCATCGTCGTCGTCATCATCATCATCATTATTACAGATTTCATAGCATCATTTAGTACGACTGGATGTATTTCTTTTTAAATAGAATATCCATGGTAAATATAGTTTTAGTCCAGACAACTTGCATAGTTTAACATAAAAGTAGAAAAATATTAATACGGTAACCATAGGAGGGTCCTCCAGATCCTGTATTATTCTCTATGTGAAAAAAACATATGCCTAATGCTTTATCATTGAAAATATAACAACTTAATCATATATAAAGCTGTTCCCAAGCTTACTGCTATTACCCATATATGAAACGTAGCATGTCTTTGTTTCAAAGTAATTCATACATGTCTATAGCCAAAAGCTTGGAAACAAAGATGCAGGCATGCACTAGCTAATATGATATTCACAGTGAAAAAAAGATAAAATCCATAAATTACGAAAACCTGTTTTGAAAATTGAACCATTTCCTTCATCTACCTCATTGTCGTCGGACTTGGTAATTTCGGGTCTTTACACTGCAAAACAATGTTAAATAAACCGTTCAAATATGTGCATGTACAGTAACTGGTTCCCTGTTCGGCTTATTTGTAAACTAAAATGTCCATTAAAGGGATTTTTGCAAGTTTGTCAAATAATATAATTTTATCTTAACCCTGGGCTGTAATCCTTGACCTTTATAACACAATAAAATCCTGCTAGTATTTTTTACCTTGTATTAATTGTATACCTTGAAAGTAATAAAGAGGAATACAATTATAGGCTTTAATTAACACATTAGATCTCAATTTTTGAATTACCCATGACAGAAAGTGTAAATTAAGCCATGTATTATAAACATTAAATCATATATAATTTAATAACTACATCTTTGCAACAATAATAATAAATTAATAATATACTATAATCACAATTTACAATGTATATATTGCCCAAAGAATATCACAATTTACAATGTACATATTGCCAGAAATTTAGGGAAGGGAGGGGCTAGCAAAAACCTAGGCGTGCAGCAGTGTGACTCGAGACAAGATTTGTGCTAAACATTCTATGAATTATTTTGTGACATTAATGATGGACAACTTCAATACGCCAGATCAGATCAGATACAGGTATTTTGCATTATTGATGGGATAACAATGATTCACTTCATTTTCCCAGGAGGGCCCCAAAATTTTACCAGGCATCTCCAGCCCCCTCCCCAGCTACACCTCTGGTTTGGCCTCAAAAAATATAAAGTGTATAAAACAATTTGCTGTTACAAATATATATATGAACAGAAAGGAATTATTGTGCAATATAAACTAATGTCAGTATTACAGTATAGCTATATTTTACAAATTTACACTGTCAATGTTTAACTGCCAAAGCATATAAACCATTCTCTCTGTGACACCTTGAACTCCATTCTCTCTGTGACACTCAATTCCTCCACACAAGTGATGGTAAATTAAATTTTGATTATGTACAACCAGTGTCTTTCATTGGCATCAATCATGATACTTCGATAGCAAGAATATATATTGTTGACTAGCTGGTTTTCTTCATTGTCCTTTCTCCATGATTTTGTTGATGTGTTTAACAAGATTTTCACATTATGTGGTATAACTAGTTCATGTATAATGAAATGGCATCATGATACTTTGACAACAAGAATAATATAGTTGACTGTACTATTTTTCTTGATTGTGTTTTCTCTATGATTTTTTTTCATGGAATGTGATATCACAAATATCACAAAGAGTATACCAAGTGAGGATTGAGGAATATCTTCCATCTGCAATACAATGCCTTAATTTTTTTTGGACAACTCAGGAAGATGTCGAGAAAGATGGAATATCTACATGGCTAGCCAAACATTAACATGTAGTATTGCCCTTGTCTCCGTGCATGTGGTACTTATTTATAATAAAAGTTTAAATTAGTTCTGATATCTATCTATAAATATAATTTGTACATTCTAATAATAGTAATATTAAATAATTTCTTTTATGGCTGTAGTTAAATCTTTTCAGTTGCTCTTAGTCTAATAAAAAATAACAAAAAATACAAAATTAATGACAGAACTGCATGAATGCAAACACATTGAAAAGTAAAAAACAAAAACAATATTTACCTCTAGTGACATATCAATACATTTTATAATTTGTTCATCTGTCAAATATTAATGGACTGTTATCATTTGTCAAACACCATACACACGTTACTTTGTCAACCCCTGGACACATCTAAAATTTGCAGGTTCCGTTGACCATGCATTCCCAACAATGCACACTCTTCCTCGAAACGCAATTGATTGTGCCAGGATACGCCCAACCTTCGAAAAATACAATGTCTATGACTGAGATATTGAGAAATTAGGTCTTTGGTAATTTTCGTAAAGATGTAGAAAATTAATTGATATAAACAGAAAGAGATTATGAAATTTCAATTGTTTGCAATTTAAAATGGCCATCCACGTCCTCCTTTAATATTGTGCCTCATCAGCAGTTGTTTGTACGTTGCTCCGCATGCTCGCACAGCACCGAAGAGCAACTCCAAGTGATCTTAGCTCATCTTGCACGTCAAGAGGTACTTTAGCACTGGTTTCTCCGTCATAACCAGATCGTCGGCCAATCCCAACACTGCTTCGATGCAAATAAGAAAACCAAGAAACCCGGTTTTTCTTTTTCTCTTGAGAATCGATCGACCCTCGGGACCCTTCAGATTTCGAATGTACTCTCTCGCCTGGTCCAGAAACTTCTTCGTGTACTGACAATTCGATCTCCTGATTGGCGCTTTGTAATTCTTCGCCAGCGGGTTTCTGGAATTCAAAACATCAAATAAGCGATCAAAAACACGTATAAACTTCACAGTTGGACCACATCCCTGAAATTATGGCAATTTCAGCTTATACCTTCGCAGTATTCTAAGGCATCAGCGACACTCGAACTGAGCGCTGTGTGCTAGGTTTACCTTCATTTTCTGTGGTTTCCATTGGATATGCGCTGCCCGAAGCTTATTAGCAAGATGTAAACCTTCTGATTCTAGCAACTGATGCAATTTCTCGAAATTGCCACTCAACGGTGTTCCCTTCTTCATCCTTCAGAACTTGCCAGTCCGACATGGTGTTTCGCACCAACTTAATCATATGGCAAGCATCTAGAAACACGTAGATCCTGGCCTTGGGATCACACGGATGCGGGGAATACGCTTCTAGACTATCATGTGAAAGCATTGCGCCGAGCTTCTTCAACATCGCGTGGTGGGTTGAAGGACCATCGGTTGTGAAAGAAATCACCTTCACCCCGACTTCGTGCAATTTTCGAAGGCATTCTTCCGTCAAGTTGGCCTTCTCTTCACCAGTCAGCCCATTTACAAGAAAATATCCACAGGGTATTTTCCAACTTGAGTTTGCACATACAGCCATGGAGCATCCGTTGCCTCAGGTAGAGAGTCGTCTTCATACCCGTTCCGAGGTCGACATAATCACGAATTCTCTTACCATCCCACTCAACGTGTTTTCGTATGGACATTTCATCCAAGGTGATAGCGCAAACAACTTCTTTACCTTCTCTTTTTGCAGCAAGGACCTTAGCTTTCAAAGCTGTCAAGCCATCTTTCGTGAAACCGGGTTCACCATCCATCGAAGTATACCACGATCGGATCACAGGTACGTGTGGCAGCCCGAGCTGAAAACTTTTCCGAACATAATTATATGCCTTCGTTGAATGAAACTTTAAGGTCAGAGCGAATGACCTTAGCTCGGGTGGATACGCCGCAGGATATTTGCTTTTCTTTTGTGACACTAACCTTTTCATCAGTTCCTTTGGAACTCCGGGAAAGGTTGTTTCCAAAATCGCAGCGCAATCACTATTTATGAGATTACTCTGCCTCAGTTCACTTACCACTGACTCCAAAGTGCTAACCTTTCTCTTTAGCCTTCTTGTCTTTTGCTTTGATGCAATAAACTTGTTCTGCAATTTAGTCATTTTGTTTACAAAATTGTCTACACGTTCTTCATTCTACGAGGGGATTTACTGATATGGTAGGTGTGATCATGATTCACATGACTCATGTGTATTCTTTTTGGAGTACTTACCCCATTAAGAAGCATCTCATCAAAGTCTTCATCTGAAAGCTTTCTTTTTCTTCTATGTGCAGTTACATTATCAGTAATAACCCCTTTTGTTATACCCTGTACACTTACATTACAAGAGCTTACCTTATCAGTGACATCCTGAACAACTACTTTACCAACACTCTCAGTTGTTGTATCTCCTGCATTGTCTTTGCTTACTATATGTTCAGCTACCTCTTCCATACTCACACAATCTCTGTCTGACATCCAACTTGCAATATCTTTCGATGCAACCTTTTGAGGTATACCGTACAGTCCGTACTCAACACTTCCGGGCAGCGGAGTCTACGTTAAGCATGCACTTCCGCCTGTAGAAATACGTAGGAAGAACGTTTCGATTTTTGTTACATTTTAAATTTGGTAAATTCTGGTACGAAAAATACTCAGGAAATTCTTGTAAAATAGAACTCTGCGGATTATCGACATTCGGTAAGACATTAACGTTTGTTTACGTATTATCTATCGTCTATGTGAACGTTTGTTATGAAAATCGTGGTGATGTGTCATAGTTTGCGTATAATTAATGTAAATCGTTATGTATTTATATTCTGTTAGAATAAAACAAAATCAACACAGTTTGTCACATTTGGGTCGATAACTAGCATCGCAAGTTCGCTAAGCGTATAGCGTAGGAGCACCTATACACAACCTCTACACATTTCACACTTTGTGTTTCCTTGACAGAAAAGTTAAATTTAATATTGATAACACAATGAAAATCATATATGCCACGTACAAGACATATAAAATTACGACAAAATGGTACTCGTGCACTATCAAGTTATACATTCCATAGTGACAACACTATATGCATTGCAGGTGACCAGAAAAACTTATGTATGTTTGCAACTAAAATGTGTGACAATTTATTTTTAATGTTAATGAACTTTGCCTCACATAATGATCTTCGCTACAGTTGTTATTAATTAACAGGCTATCTTTAAAACCAGGAAGGGGGAATCGGGCTTTTCCCATTCCTGGTTTTAAAGATGCCGGCTTTTCCCATTCCTGGTTTTAAAGATTCCGGCTTTTCTCATTCCTGGTTTTAAAGATTCCGGCTTTTCCCATTCCTGGTTTTAAAGATTCCGGCTTTTCTCATTCCTGGTTTTAAAGATTCCGGCTTTTACCATTCCTGGTTTTAAAGATTCCGTCTTTTCTCATTCCTGGTTTTAAAGATTCCGGCTTTTCCCATTCCTGGTTTTAAAGATTCCGGCTTTTCTCATTCCTGGTTTTAAAGATTCTGGCTTTTCTCATTCCTGGTTTTAAAGATCCCGGCTTTTCTCATTCCTGGTATTAAAGATTCCGGCTTTTCTCATTCCTGGTTTTAAAGATTCCGGCTTTTCTTATTACTGGTTTTAAAGATTCCGGCTTTTCCCATTCCTGGTTTTAAAGATTCCGGCTTTTCCCATTCCTGGTTTTAAAGATTCCGGCTTTTCTCATTCCTGGTATTAAAGATTCCGGCTTTTCTCATTCCTGGTTTTAAAGATTCCGGCTTTTACCATTCCTGGTTTTAAAGATTCCGTCTTTTCTCATTCCTGGTTTTAAAGATTCCGGCTTTTCCCATTCCTGGTTTTAAAGATTCCGGCTTTTCTCATTCCTGGTTTTAAAGATTCTGGCTTTTCTCATTCCTGGTTTTAAAGATCCCGGCTTTTCTCATTCCTGGTGTTAAAGATTCCGGCTTTTCTCATTCCTGGTTTTAAAGATTCCGGCTTTTACCATTCCTGGTTTTAGATTCCGTCTTTTCTCATTCCTGGTTTTAAAGATTCCGGCTTTTCCCATTCCTGGTTTTAAGATTCCGGCTTTTCTCATTCCTGGTTTTAAAGATTCTGGCTTTTCTCATTCCTGGTTTTAAAGATCCCGGCTTTTCTCATTCCTGGTATTAAAGATTCCGGCTTTTCTCATTCCTGGTTTTAAAGATTCCGGCTTTTCTTATTACTGGTTTTAAAGATTCCGGCTTTTCCCATTCCTGGTTTTAAAGATTCCGGCTTTTCCCATTCCTGGTTTTAAAGATTCCGGCTTTTCTCATTCTTGGTTTTAAAGATTCCGGCTTTTCCCATTCCTGGTTTTAAAGATTCCGGCTTTTCTCATTCCTGGTATTAAAGATTCCGGCTTTTCTCATTCCTGGTATTAAAGATTCCGGCTTTTCCCATTCCTTGTTTTAACATTCCCCGTTCCCTTCCTTGATTCCCCATTCCTGGTTTTAAAGATAGCCGTTATTAACATGTAGCTCTTGGAGTCTAATTAGAAAATTATAATCTTACTTGTTCACCAATTAAAAAGAGGTACAAACCTGAGACTTCTGAAATATTGTTGGGATAGCATATGGCAACAGCATTGTCCTTTGCCCAACTTTTTGCATCATATCCACACTAAAATGGTCAGAACAGACACAACTTCTCTTATTTGTAGTAAACTCAACAGCAACATTTTTGTTTATATTCTCCATCCATAAGGCATGTAACTCAGGACTCCTCTCAGCATCAGGAAAACTATATTTCATTGTTAAAGTAGTATGTTAATAAATACCTAGCACCATGCAGTTAAAGGTTTTTTAATTTAAATTTTATAGTATATATGTTAAATATATATTATTTATGTAGTGTATCAAGTATGCATTTTGTACATGTTTTTGTAAATTTGATTTTGGAGCTATTGAATAATATACAAATAATGAATGTTTTGATTCGTGCAATGGTAAAAATATTTTGATGGAATGTTCCATAGTTGGTATATCTCAAAAGTTACAGAAATTCAACACTTAATTTATTACAGCTATTTCTGAGTGTACAAAAAATGACGCCATTGCCTTTTACGTGTGAAAAAAATATCGTGTTTTTTTTGCAATAAAAACTACAAAATAAAGAAATTGCATAAATATCTTACCGGTGGGAAGTAATATTCTCCTTTGAGAAGGAATTATGACAACCAAAAACGCAGCAAAACTTAGGCATATTTTAATTTAGTGTAAGGCGGGACAGATGAATAAAAAATATTCAAAAACTGATAACAGTCAAAAATCGGGAGGGTGATGGACACGTTTTTGACTTTGTATCGCGGTATGTCAGTGGTAATTGTTCTATTTCGCTGCGCTCAAACGAACGTAATATATTTACTTTCTTAAAAAATAACACAAATGAACTGAACACAAAAGGTAGATGGGATAATGTTCATCACACGAAAAAGAGCTGTTTATTACGTTTTTGAATCATTTTTACAATATCCGCGCAAAAGATTATTATACGATAAAGACAAATGAATATAGCTTATAGTCCCAATTGTTCGTTTACAGAGAGTCTCTTAACTCTCGTTTGAATATTCTCGTGAACGTACATGTCCTTTGCGGTTTTCCAACGCTAATGCTAATATTTTAGTGTTCATTGACTGTGAAGACTATAAATTTCTAAAGAAATGCCGGAACAATTATAATAATTCGAAATTTACATTGCGGGACAAAATCGTCAGGCTGGCTACGCCACTGATCCGTACATCGTTTCGTCGTATCCTAGTTCCTTCAGAGTCGATTTAAATATCTCCCTGCACCTGGTATAGGACAGTTTGATCCCATACAGCTTGAACTTGTTCTCGGATCTAAAGAATCTTAAAGGTCTAAAAATAGGTAAATCTAATTGGGCTCCGGCGTTTACTTTTTCAAGATAACGTTGTAAAATTACTACCGGGCAATTGATGGTATCAAGTTTCTTTATATAAACGTAATTTCCCTCACGGTAAACATCAGTTTTAGAACTGGGTATGAATATCTTGACATAATTGTGCTCGAAGGTTATGTGGTTTGGTGTTATGTTAGACAATCCGTTATATCCAGTGAACCCAAACTACACATACATGTTACACGAAGGTTTTTAAAATCTGCTCCTAGGCAATCATGTGCAAAAATTATGAGACTTTACGTATTCTAAACACATTTTTTTCATTTTGACAATTATTATGTCACGTATTTCGTTAAACTATTGACTATTCCCCCCTTCCCCCATTGACAATGTTGAGAGTGATATTTTTGGCAAATCAAATGGCTTGGTATCATAGAAACAACATTATTTTGGGGGGAGAGGGGGCTAGATACTAGGTGTCATGACCGTGTCTCAATAATTTTTGCACATGATTGTCTCTATGCAAATTTAAAGCTAACTGTGTGTCAGCTGACTATTGCCGACAGAAAATATAATCGTATCCTTTTCGTTGTTGTTAATGTTTCTCACTACAATTAAACAACTCTCGTAATTAGATTATGACGTAAATGACGTCACTATGACGTAATCGTCTAATAAAATTGTCCGAGAGGGTATTATTAAGTTGACTAGCGAGTTAGCATTTATTTTTGTGAATCAATTTCAGGAAGTAAGTAAACTTTATTAACATTCAAGGGTCGTACGCATATTCCAGAAGATCACTGTTTAACTTCGTCATTATTGGTTTAATTTATAACACATATTTCACAACACACGCACTTGAAAAACATTGCGAAACTAATGCGGCAATCCGATATTGCGAAACAAACACAGGTTTGTATACACGCAAACTACACTAAAGAAAAAAATGAAGTCAAAGAGGCAGGTTCCGAAGGAAACGTCTATTTACATGAGGTTCTTATATCAGGACAAAGGTGTAAGGGGAAAGGAGCTTCTTAGCGCATTTCCGAAGTACAGTAAAGCGACCATATATCGTCATGCCAAATTACCGTTTGACGAAAACGATTCTTTCGACAAACGCAAGCTGAACAAAGACGCCAAGTAAATTATCTGTTCGCGACGAAGTAATCTTGTAAGGCATTTGCGCATATGTAGAGAAGTCACGGGTTCGTTTGGTGCATCCACACTTCGAACAGCAGCTGGAATTAGTCCTGAAGTATCACTGTGGACCATCCGAAAAGCACTTCGAAAGCACGGCTACTTATACTTACAATCGCGCAAAAAAGGACTTATGACAAGGAAATATTTGACGCAAAGATATCGCTTCGCCCGTAAGGTTAGAAGGCTGCTACCGGAAAACTTCTGGGAAAATGGAATCAGCTTCTATTTTGATGGAACCTCGTTTGTGCACAAAACAAACCCCCTTGAGCAGGCACGAGCTACAAAATCAATGGCTTGGAGAAAGCGTGGAGAAGGGCTTGCTCTAAATTGCACAAGCAAAGGAAAGAAGGCCGGAGTAGAGGGGAAAACAGCTCACTTCTTTGTTTCCGTTGCTTATGGGAAGGGTGTTATTTCTTGCGACCAATATTTTCATCGTTTGACTGGAGAGACATTTGCTGAATATGTACGCCTTCATTTCCCTCGGATATTTGAAAATAGTGCAAATCCAACCGCCAAACGTTTTGTGCAGGATGGTGACCCATCGCAAAACAGCGCAGTCGCAAGGCGAGCTTTCAACCAAGTGGGAGCTTTAAAGTTTTCTATACCACCCCGAAGTCCGGA